GGTGTTTTAGATTTTTTCATCATACTTCCATGGTGTCTGTCATAATTTCTTCTCTTTCTTACCTGATTTTGTTTATTTGTGTCCTTTCTCTTTTTTCTTTTGTGAATATAGCCAGGAGTTTTCTAATTTTATTAATCTTCTCAAAGAACTAGCTCTTTGTTGCATTTATTTTTTCTATTTTTGTTTTCAATTTTATTTCTGCTCTAATTTTGATTATTTCTTTCCTTCTGCTGATTTTAGGCTTCATTTGTTCTTCCTTTTCTACAGGTTTTTTTTTTTTTTTTTTTTAAAGATGAATCTCATCGTTCTTTCCTCAAAATCGGGTTTACCTTAGATTATGAAAGGCAATCTCCTACCCCATCTTTTACAAATTGCTTGTTTCTTAGGGTCTTTGGTTTCCAGCTCTGTTACTTGAAACAGATTTAAAACTAGACATGATAAAGATCTCAGAAACGTACTGGGGATGGCAGAACCTGGTTGGGATGACCGTCCCCGAGGTAGGGCGCTGAAGAAGCCAAGTGGGTTGTTCTTGGTCCTGTTCTGTTTTGCTGGTTCAGTTTGGCTCTAATCACTGCCATCTGCTCGATGTCTAGCTGCTGTCTTTTTGAGCCTAGCTAACCCTGTCTACCTTATTCTCCTGAGCCCTGCCCTAGGAGTAGATAACAAATTCTTGGGGCCCTGAGAAATCTGGAATTTAGGGAAATATTTTGAGGATGACCTGAAAGAGCTTCAGTTTGGGCAGAGTTGGAATGAAAACAAGGTTCAGAGATCTGCTGGGGTTTCCCTTTAATTATTGCCTCTAGTGGCCCTTGTCCATGCTTAGACCTTGAAAAGAGTGAAGGAAAGTTGACATTCTGTGTGTGTCTTATGGGAAATGAAAACTAACGTTTACTGGGCTTGCAGTGCCGGACCCCTTGTCCACATCATCCCATTACTATTTCATGCTTAACTGTGGTCACTCTACAGAAATGACAGTAATTCAGGAGGAACAGTAAGATATGCTCATATTACTAAAACAGTGTTAAGCTGAGTAGTCTAAATGTTAACAGTCCATTAAGCTGAGTGGTCTCTCCATATGCTATTTAGATAGCAGCTATTTATTGGACATGGCCTAGGTACCAAAAGACACACTCCCGGGAATCTCACTGGGTTATAAATTTGTTGGAGAGGTAAGATAATTGTAATACTTGGCAGTAGTTATGAAAAGCAGTGTGAGGATAGTAGAAAGAGCAAACACGTGCTGGGTCTGTTAGATCTATGACCTTAGACAAATAACCTGTGTCCCAGTTTCCTCATTTGTGAAATGGGGATAATACCACATTCTTTGCCTGAGTGATTGCAAGAATTTTTAAAAATTTAGTGCATGTAATGCACCCAGGACAGTGCCTGGAACATAGTGGATACCAAATCAATAATAGCTGCTATTACTGTTAATGCAAAGCAGAGAAGTAATATAACTTAAACATATTAGAACCTATTCCAGTGGTGCTGCCATTTCTTCAAAGATGCTTTTAATGTTACCTTCTATTTAGTGACAAATTTTTGTCTTTTAAGATTGAATTTTATTTTTCAATGACTAAAAAGCAGAATCAGACGTAGGTAGGAATATTTTTGTTATTGTTGATACAATCTCAGAAATGAGATATAGCCATCATATAATAATATTTATGGATCTGTCTGATAAACTGGGTTTGGAGCGAATTCCGAAAGACGTGTTTCCAATTTTTTTGAGCAGTGAGACCATCATTGCAGATATGTAACTTCCACAGATGGACTTATTATATATATTTTGAAAATCATTCATTTTAGTCTGTATTACTAAGTGCTAGAATAAGTGACATAGCCTATAAATGCTTTGGGTGAGCAAAGAAGAAGGGGCTCAGAATAGAGTGGATTGCTTTGGGAAAGCCTTGATAAGATGGAACTTGAGTTGAACCTTAAAGGATAGGTATGATTTGGTAGTAAGGGAAGAGGGATGGCATTTTCAAATATTGTGGGAGAGTCGCAAGAGCAAAGCATACGAAGATTGATTGAGTACCTACCATGTGCTGTGCACTTGGCTTAGCTTGGGAGCTCAGATGAATGGACACTGCTATGACTTTAAAGAATATACAGTATACTAGGGAAGAGGCACATATAATGAATAATCATAGTACAATATAGTAGAGTGGTAGAGAGATACAGAGGCAACAGTGGGAGTGCAGAAAAGGAGTACCTAACCCAGCCTAGGAATCAAGAGAAGGTGAGATCAGGCTAACTGACATGGCGTAGGTTACTTTGTGAGAAAAGAGGATAATTGGAGGAAACCCAATCAAAGTGGAAGCTAAGGATTTGAAACTTTATGATGTAGGAAATGCAAAGCCCTTGAAAAAGTTTGATCAAGTATTTTTAGGGAGATTAGTGAGTTGGTGGTATGCAGAATGGATTGGCAGGGTAAAAGATTAGAAGCAAGGAGAACATTTGGGAGGCTTTTTGCGGTAGAGCAGGCTAAATGTGAGGAAGACTTGAATTAGAATTGTGGAGGAAGACATGGAAAAGCAGGGAAAAAAACATCAAGAATAGGTAGAGTTCTTGACTGACTTGTCATGGGAAATGAAAAAGGGTCATACATTTATTCCGAACTTTAGTATCTGGAAGAACAATAATGCTGTTAAAGAAATAGGGATGAGAGGAGGGTGAATGTGATATTTAACATGGTGCCCAGAGGCTCATAGAGCTTCTACATCCAAACCTAACTGCTTTGAATTTTAATTGCAGCTCCCCCACCTCCACCACCCATAATCCGAAATGGTGCCAGGGATGCTCCCCCTCCCCCTCCACCATATCGACATGGGTCAGAACCTCTGAGCAGAGGAAAGCCCCCACCTCCACCCTCAAGGACGCCAGCTGGGCCACCCCCTCCTCCTCCGCCACCCCTGAGGAACGGCCACAGGGATTCCATTACCACTGTCCGATCTTTCTTGGGTGAGTAGCTAGCAGTTTTAGTCTCCTAGTTCCTGTGGTGACGTATTAATTCCTGTGGCCATTGTAGAATGGGAATGGTCTCTTGATATCCTTCATTCACAGCAGTTTGTTTCCTGACTTTATACCTCAGACTTCTAGGCAGTTCGTTTCCTGACTTTATACCTCTGACTTCTAGGCACTGTCAAATGACATCCCTTTTCTTATGCAAATTCTAGGCATGGTTGTGTTGAGACATATTGAAGTAAAATCAGCTGGTGTCATGCTACCTCTAAAGCCACTCTGTTGCTCCCCAAGAATCATTATTTGTGGTTACCTTTTAAGTCTAATTTGTGGTTACCTTTTAAGGAGACTTTATCCTTTTCAGGATTATTCAGACAGGAAGTATGTGTCATCCTAGGAAGAAGAGTTTTCTGGCCCTTGAAAAATAAAACACTGTACACAACCTTTATCTAGTAATTCAAAGCCACTAACTAGCTGTGTTACTTTGAGGAAGTTGCTTCACTTCTCTGGGCCTCACTTCCCTTATGTGTGAAATGAGGAGATTGGCTAGATAAGAGTATGTCAGATTAATTTTCTCAAGATTATCCATGAATCTTAGGCCCCATAAGAGATTCTTATTCCTTAAGTCTGGGATGGAACCCCAGGCAAAGGTTGTCCAGAGGGTATCATTAGACCCTCTGCTGAGGACTCCTGGAAAGATCTGTACAGTTTCTTTTAGCGCTAATACTCTGTATTCGCTAATGGTTGACTCTTCTCTGCCCTTGCTCTAGTTCCTATTAGGTGGACCAGGGTTTTTGCTTTGAAGATGAGTCTTTTGGAATGCGATCAAGCCACACCCAGATTTGAGCTTTCTTGTAGAGGGGCCATGGAAAGTAGGAGCATGGGCCATGAGATGGCTGTCCCTACTGCATTGCAAAGCTAAATGAGAGTAACCTAGGCCAAAAGGGAATTATCCGGTCAGATCTCTCACTAATTGGTGACAAATATTCCCATTTTAGGTTAATTTCTACCAATTTATAGATTCAGTTCAGTTGGTTTTCCATAGTATTAGTCTCTAAGATGACTGTTAAAGAACTATATTTCTTCTCCCATGCAAACAGATGGGCTTCTTTCCTGTTAAATGCCTGATTTTTAGTGGAAAGACTTTAAAAAAAAAACAAAACAGTTCAAACACTAATTTCTTTATGTAAAGAGCCTATGAGGACATCCTTTATGCATACAAGGCACATAGAGAGGTGCTGCTGTTGTTCTCAGACACCTTGGTGTAGTGAGCAAGGCAGGCCCTCAAGTTCATCAGAATGCATAGAGACTAGTAAGGGGAGGGTCAAGTATGTGGGAGCACAAGGAAGGGTGATATGAATTAATATTCTGTTCCTTTTGCAGATGATTTTGAGTCAAAATATTCTTTCCATCCAGTAGAAGACTTTCCTGCTCCAGAAGAATATAAACACTTTCAGAGAGTATATCCCAGCAAAACAAACCGAGGTGAGGGGTAGTCATGAAACTTTTTCCATAATTGCATAGAAAGTAGAATTGGTGTGCTTTTCTTAGGTTAAAATTTGCTTCTCATCTGCATTTTCTTTTAAAACAACAAAACCTAGTCCCCAGATTTTAACCATTAGCTTAAAGAACCTGTCCCTCATTTCAGGAATATTTGATTTATTCAGGGTCTCATGGGTGACCTTGTATCTGTCGTTTTTATTGTTATTTTTTTTAGCTGCCCGTGGAGCCCCACCTTTGCCACCCATTCTCAGGTGAAGCCTGGCTTGGTCCTGTTCCTCAGGAAAAGGATGGACCCACTTCTCTTCTCAGATGGTCCCTTCCATTCCCCTGAAACCTGCATGAGAGTTCCTGACATGTTTCTCCAGTGCAGCCAACCTCTAGACTCCAAGTGTCCTCCCCGCTCACCTCCATCTATGCATCTCGTCTCTGGACTTGGTGATTGGACTCTTTATATTGACAGTAGGGTCTCAAACCCTGCATCCATCCCTCCTCTAGCAAGCTCTGCTAGCCAGATGAGGATGAGGAAAAAGCGTCCATGTCTCCTGCTTTCCTCTCGGGGAAGGGTGCCTTGTTGTGATGAATTAACTCATTGTTGGGGCAGGGTGGAGAAAGGTACTCCTACCTCCTCCTACCCACTGTGGGGGAAGCTTGGCAGGTATATTATATTTCATCATTTAGGAGGCTGACATGGCCAGAACTTTGGCGTGGGATGGGGGTGGGGAGCATTTTTAGTGAAATAGGAAAGGCGTTTGCAGAAAAAAGATATGTTTTAAAGGCCAAGTTTGGAGAAGGGCAAGGAAATGGGTCTGTTTTATTTTTAGGGATATTTTGGTTTTACTCTTACCCCACCCCATGCCCTCACCCCAGGAATAAGTTGGGTATAAACACTAAATACTAATCAGTTGAACTAAACATCTAATAGAAAGAGAGGGTGAAGTAAACTGAGAGCCTTTCAGAGCTAGTCAGTTCCTCTGCAGCAAAGGGAACAGGAGCCATTTGGGTCCTCTGGGACTCCCTGCCCTATTTCCTCAGGGTGCTGAGGTTGAGGGATGTTTTTTCTGCCCCCACCACCCAGCCCTCAAGAGAAAAGTCACTTTCATTCATTTTTTTCTGGATTCACAAACCCTAAAAACTTCAGTGGGAGGTAAGAAAATAGGGCCTGGACCTTGGCCTTAACTTTAACCTTGACCTCGAGTTTACCTGAGTCTTTTCTGACTGGCCCTGAAGGCCATTGGCCCTTTCAGTCCTGTCCAGAAACTTCAGCCCCTGATGAGTGCTCCACAATGACAAAGAAGGGACCATGGAAGGGACTAGCTCTGTGGGCTACAGAAGACTAAGGCCTACTCGCTGTAGTGTTCACAGCCCATCTGACTGAACAGACTCTTCTTTTCTCTGTCACCTTTGCATTCCCAAGACTGCAAGGGTTAGCACAGCAGAGTAGAGAAGGGTGAGCAAGTTTATGGGGGTAATCAAAGATTCCTCTGTGCCAAGAAGCACAAAGACTTTGGTGAGGTGTGCCTCAGCCCAGTTGATATAACTTGGCAGCCAGCAATATGTTGTTTCTTCGTCCTCCAGGTCCTAGTTTAAGACCACAGAGAAAAAGGAAGTTTCCAGTCTAGGTAGAAACTGAGCCTGGATGATGGGAAGGGGCTTCCCCCTTCTCCAAGAGCAGGATGGGGCTCCTGATCTCCACACACAGATGGTTTGGTTTGCTACAGCTCTTGCCAAGTGCAGAGGCTGCTCAAAGCTTGGAATAAGAGCAGGCAGGCCATGGCTACTCATTGAAATGGTTGGGGAAAGTCAGTTAAAAAATTTCATCATCTATATCACAGGCTTAAACCACCTTATGGAGCTTTGTAATCTCTTGGATCACAGACTAAGGATCTGGGTATGGTACCAGGTGAAACCCAAGTCTTCCCAATACTAGATGAGAGTAGGCTCAACTTGGGTTATTTGTATGGGGTCTGCTATTTTTTGTTATCCCCTGGACCACATTGACTCTTGGGACAAACCATGATCAGGTCTGTCACCAAACTTTTTCTAATCATTATTTATCATTCTTATTTTCAAATCTGTTAGCAGTTGTCTCCCAGCAGTGTCCCCAGCATCCTGAAGTGAATAGAACTGAGAGAGGGGACACTAGTGGAGGGAACACGAGAGAGTACAAGAGTGGATACTGCAGCAGAGTTCCAGGGTAGGTAGATGCTGACCAGTTACTGAACTTGGACTGTGAAGTCTTCCCATTTATTTTTGAAATGGGAGTTGCTGCCTTTGTACAATGTTATCAAAGTGTATTTTCCTCCCTTTACTCAAATATAGAGCATCAGAATAAGTATTACAAGTAAAAGCCAAACCCCAGCTTTTCATTGGAGCTGATGTCTTCCTCCCCTATGACCTGCTGCCCTCATATTCCCTAGCATTTGGACTGTGTCACATGGGTATTGTATTTTCGTTTTCTTGGCCTCATGAAAAAAGGCCCAAGCCTAGATCTAGTCAGATGGATTTTGTTCTTCAGAGCATGTTAGTGACACAGTACTTATTTAAATGTCTTTGCCTTATACATTGTTTGGTCCCTCTGTTAATAACAGATTTATTATCATGTATATTTACTATTGAGGAATGGGAATGTGATCCTTATAGTTATTGATCTATTTTGTATGTTGTAAAAAGCTTGTAATATAGGTTTAAGGTGGGCTGGCTGCAAGAGCACTAAAACGTCTCACCTTTTAAACTGCTCTTTTTATCTGCTCCTGGGAATGTCGTCTCTTCAGTGGGAGATTGGGTGGTCTCATGTTGAGGCTGTTGCCCAGTCCCATTAACCCCCTTATCCCCTCCCAGAAGGAAGAGACATTGCCCACCTTAGCATCAGGAAGCTATGTTAAAAGCCCTTGTGTGGGTTTGGTTTTATGATGTTTTTCTCTGGCGGGAAAAACTTAATACTGTAGTTGTTCCTTACTGCCCTTTCTGGGAAGCAGGGCAGTGGCCTCCAGGTTTTTAAATGAGCTAGGTGCCCCTCTTCCCCTCATCCTCTCTGGTCACCAAACCTGGATAAAAGCACTTCGATATTCCAGGTGTGGATTTTTCTGTCATGGGGATTTCCTCCAGCAGCAGAGCCCCATCATCTTCACAGCTGTGCCCACAGAGTGAGAACTCTTAGGTCTGCCCCACCCAATGGATATGAAGCTGCTGTCTCCAGAAATTCATCCTACCCCTCCCAGCTAGCAAAGGCAGGGAGACTAGCCACTGGCCATTGCACTGGGAGCATCCCCTCACGCCACGGCTTCCCAACTTGAAACCCAGATTTACCTCTAGGGAGAGGTGAGAAAAAATTGTAAATAGACTTGCTACAGAGCAACTCAGGGTTGGGGTATGTTTTAATTCTCCTGATCACTTGAAATAATCTGTAGGCTGAGTGCTTATGGGAGTGGGGGAGAAGTGTGACTCCAGGGTCTTCTGTGAAGCTCTGGGGGTGGAGTATAGGGCATCTGAGGCCCTTTGATGGCACTACACTGAGCTGTCTGTCCTTCTGGAAACCCAACCTACAATCAACTGCGAATCAAATTCTTCACATTCCAGTTGTAGTCTTTCTCTCCCTATTAAATCTCAGTCCCTGGCTGTGTAGTCAGGGTGGCTTTCTGTAAGCCACCCTAATTTAGGGAATGGAAGGCATTACAACTTTGCCTTCAAGACTCATCTCTTTAAAGCAAAATGAAAACTGCAACCACCTTCAAAACAAAAAAAGGATAACCTGTTTAAACGAAGGAAGGGTTTGGTTTCATTCAACTCCACGTTCATTGTGCCTTGTGTTAGATTTCCGTGCTTTCTTCCTCTCTCCCTGTTTGAAGCAATTAAAATCTTCCTTGATAACTGCTGTTTCCTCCTTTCTACTATTGTTTCTAGCATCTTAGTGGGTTCCCTAATGTAAATCTCATTCCACTGGTGGCAGAGGGGCCAAGTTTATTTTCTCATGCCTAAATTTTGTCATTTCGCACGACAACCAGCATGGAAGTCGTAGTCAACACTGAATAAAAGACTAGAATGACATGAGTGAAGAGTGTGAGTGTGTATGTGTGTGTCCATCTGTCTGCATGTGGATCAGTTTCTTTAAAAAGAAAATAATTTATTGTATGATTTATTTTGGAGTTATATTCTGATTAGAGTGCTCCCTCTCCCAATTAGCATTCATTCCCCCCGCATCTAAAATGTGCATTCTGGTCTCAGGTTGGATTCTTTGGTACATTTGTTTCTTCTGGATGCCATGCAGTTTAATTAAACCTTGTTTAAAAATGAAAACAAAATACTTAAAACTGTGTACTCTTGTCTGTCATATGGTGGCATAGGGAAGAAAATCTGTTGCCTCATATTCCAGGTTGTGTAGTGGTTTGACTCCTGGTCTTGTAAGAAAGTAGATACACTGACTTGGGCAGAAGTATCTGCAGCTTCCTGAGAGTTTTTTCTCCTTCCCTCTGCTGTTTCAAAAATCACAGTTCTGGTTAGTCATGCCGACTGGGTGATTCTGATAGAGTTGGTCATTATTTATATTTGCCACCTAACTCTGCTTATGATTTCAGGGAACCCAGGACACCCTCTGGCCTTGCATCCTTTCATTATATTCCTTATGATTCTTTTTGCCTGTGTTGCATGGCAGATTCTCACACTGAGGCATAGAAGAAAAGGTGGAGGAAGAGCATGCAGACTGTATTTTTATGTGGGTGTTAGCTATTTTTTTTCAGCGCTCTTTAAGTTAAAATCTTAGCTGGCTTTCTTAAACTTTGCCTTTAGGTGTAAAAATTAAAGCAGACATTCTCTGCTTACTATGGTCAGCTGATATAATCACCACTAAGACTTAATGAGCTTAACTTGCACTTTCATCACTAGCTAAGGTCTTGAATTTATTTCCCATACTGATGCATAATGGGTGTATGAATCACTCTCACATAATTTAGATATAAAAACCCAGGAGAGAAAGGCCTCCTTTCATTTTCATTCATACTTGCCAAATTGGCTGAATTTCTGATTATTTGACCCATCATTGTTGTTAATATGATTAATAAACTATTGATTTATTTGTTCCTCCTGACTTTCAATAGCCCTGAAATGGAGTTTGCCTAAATGACCCTCAACTTCCTAACCCTTTAAGCCAGGGGTCCCCAACCCCTCGGCCACAGACCGGTACCAGTCTGTGGCCTGTTAGGAACTGGGCCACACAGCAGGAGGTGAGCGGTGGGTGAGCAAAGCTTCATCTGTGCTTGCAGCTGCCCCACAGCACCACGTCAGATACACTTCAGATCATCGGGCATTAGATTCTCATAGGAGCACCAGTCCCTGGTGCCAAAAAGGTTGGGAACCACTGCTTTAAGCATCTTCCATCCTCTTAGGATGATATTGCCAGTGCGTGTGTGTCTGTCTGTGTATGTGTGTGTACATACATAAAAGGATGTCAGATAGGTCCTTCTAGTGTGATTTGACTCCTTCCTTCATGATACTGTGTATGAATTAGGTGATAAAGACACCAGTTTGCCCACTCTAATTATTACTGAGACACCGCTGCTTACTGTGAATGTTCCTCAAGTATTTCCTGGCCAGACTCAGCCACAAACTGCGACTCACTACAAGGAAACTGCCTGTCTCTGACTTCCTATTTTACTCTGCATACAGAGGTAGGAGAACTAAAATGTCAACTTCAGGATCCTGTCCACCCTAGAGGATAACTATGAGGAAATGCTTCACCTCTGGCATCGCTGGGGAGCCCAGTCTGGATCATTTTTACACATAATTGAATGTATTTTTCACTCAGGTTTAGGGGTGTGAGATTTAAAGGACTATATGGTATCAAGCACATTCATGAAAAAGATGGATATCCACTTGGCAGGAATGTCTTTCCATTCATTCAGCAAGCATTTATTGCGTACTTTACTGTGTTCCAGGCATCTATAATGTGAAGATGAAATAGGACATGGTCTTTGCTTCCAAGGAGCTCAGAGTCTAGTAGAAGACTTCAGGACAGCTATCAGGAGAAACCTATACAGGGTATTAAAAGTCTTTATGGTAATTAAATACAGGGAAGGAGGATGGTAAGCAGTATTCCAGAGGAAACAGGACCGAAGCACAGAAACAGTCTGGTGGTATGAGCATCACATTACTGGAGTAACAGAAACCATTAGAAAGTTTAAAGTAGATAACCTTTTAGAGACCACTCAATCCTGACGTTCCGTGGTTCTCTGCCTGCTTCCACAGTAGTAATTTACTCTTGTAGGCTTTTCTTAGACCAGTGCTGTATTTTCTGGTGAGTGTTTTCATAGGCTCCAATATGCATGTTTAGTACTCACAGTTCCCCTGCTCCCCCTCTCCCACTGTAACAGAGAGGTTCACCACCATCCATTAAAGCTGGCTGGGCACATGTTATCATTTCAGGTTATTAAGGACAATTTTTAGGTGCCCAAGTTATAAAAATAAAGACAGTGAAGGTTGCTTCCTAGGTTCCATTGCCCTATTAAGACATCAGAAATACCATGTGGTCGAAAAGCCTCTAGTCTAACATAACAGTTTTTACATTTACGGCTGCCTAATCTCTTTACTGTTGTACTTTTCAGCTCCTAAAAGCCTTCCCAAAATGTGCTCCTTCACCACCTCTTCCTATTTAGAAGGCCACTTTAGAACTTAATCTGTCTAATCCTCCCCCTATGTTTAAGTGGTCAAGAGTTCAATCTGTCAGATTTCCCAAGTTCAAATTCTAGCTCTTTTACTTACTAGTACTGTGACCTTGGGCAAATTTACTCAACCTCCTCTATTTGTTTCCTCATTTGTAAAATGGAAATAATAGCAACTTCACGGGGTGCTTGTGAGGTAAAATGCTTGAGCTAGGTTCCTGGCTTACACTTAAGCACGCAGCATTGGCTCTTCTATATGAACTAACTAAATTAACTGACGATTGTAATAATGTTTTCTTATTTCTGAGACTTATTGCTCTATTTTATTTGATATTTAAGATGAAAGATAAATGCTTGCCATCACCTAGAATTGGGTTTTGGCCTTTAACAGAAACTGAGGCTAAACTAGGTAATTAGCTTTGGAAGATGGCCTATAAACTACTGCTGTAATTTATATTTTTCATTAAAAGCTCAGCTTGCCTCTTCTATAGCAGTTTTCTCTGGCCCTGAAACCCTAGTGTTTAGCCATAATTTTTTCTTTTTTAATTAAGAAGTCATAAGTCTCTCTACTCCCTACTAAATGTGGATTAATGGGATTAATGATAAAGTGCACAGAATATCATATTCTTATCCTTAACAAAATAGAAAGGCCTGGTTCTATTTCTCACCTTCGAAATACAAACCAGGGAGATACTGTGATGAAGTGTAGTGTACTTTATGTATGTGTAGACCTTTAAAAAAAACAACAACATTGGTTTAGGTGTCAGGAAATCTGGATCCCAGGCCCTTCAACAAGATGCTGTGACCTCTAACCCTCTGCACATTTGCTTTGTGCCTTGCAAGGTTGAGTATTAGGTAAGTAAAGCGCCTAGCATCATGCCTGGCATCCAGAACCGCCCAAGAAATGGTAAGTATATAGTAGTTCTATAAAAATCTAGCTCATTAGGATAATGAAAATAGGTACGTGCAGCACTGACAAGGGGCAACCAAACCTTTACATCTCTCATCGAAAGAAGGGCGTAGAAATACAACGCTGCATGCGGCAAAGACTACCTCTCCCGTCGGGCTTTGCGGCGAAGTCGTCCCGCCTTACCCAGAGTCCTCTGTCACTGCGCGTCTTTCCGCGGAGGTCCCGGATATAGATGAGCCCTCCGCTTAGTGGGCGTAGCCTCACGGGAGCGCTGAAACCTGGGGCTCCCTTATTGGCTGTGGGTCTTCCGGCGGAATTGGTCGTGAAGGGAGTGGGCGTTGGCCAGGGCGCGCGGCGCTCTGGCGACAGCCAATCAGCAACCTGGCCAGGCTTTGGCGGGAGGCCGGAAAGCTGCGGCTGTGCAGATTTGGCGCGAGTGTGGCTGCGCTTTTCTGCTGCCTGTGTATTCTGTAACTTATGAAGAATCCCTGAAGCCGTGTGCGAGAGACGTTAGAAGGAGCCGGCACTGAGGTGACGCAGTTCTGTGGGGTGGAGAGGAGAAGATTGCTTGGGAGGCCTGGGGTCTGGTAGGCAGCAGAGTTGGGTGGCAAGACCCGCGGGTTCCGATGAGGCCCGAAGGAGTAGTCTGGCAGTTGTGCATGGAAAAGGAGCTGAATGTTGTAGGAGTGGGGTTGAGAGTTCTGTATAGTGGGGGGACTCAGGGCAGAGTGAGACTTTAGGCAAGACTAAATGTGAAAGGTTGCTGGGCGAAGCTGGTGATAAAGATAAACCCCGTGCCTGGGGTGAGGGAATTAGTACTATAGAAATCAATCAAGATAAATTTATTTCGTTGTTCAAGTGGGTAAGAACTTGGGCTCTGGAGCCAGAATACAGGGTTTGCTGTGACTTTGGGCTTCCGTGCCTCTCAGTTTGCTGACTTCAAGATCATTTTAATAATAGTACCTACTTCTAAAGTAGTTGTAAAACTTAGATGAGTCCGATACCTAAAATGTTTGTAACAATTCTTACACATAGTAGGTAGACATCAGGTGTTCGCTATTGCATAGATTTGGATTGGAAGCAGAACTGAACGCTAAAATATTACTGTTATTTACTAATGAAATGAGTGTTGATAATTGGTATAAATTTTATGTTAGTTATTTTCTCTTCAGTTTTACATACTGATTGCCTGCCCTGGTTTTTTTTGGGGGGGGTTCTCAGGTGTGTTGCCGTCATGCCTCAAACCCGATCCCAGTCACAGACTACAGTCAGTTTTCCAAAAAAGAAGCTGTCGCGGACATCGGACAAAGCTAAAAACTCTAGTGACACCAAACTAGAACTGACAAATGTCCAGGCCATACCCCGTTCTCCTTGTGTCAAAAGTCTTCCTCTCAGCCCCAGAAAACGTCTGGGTAAGCTATCCATTATATAATATAATTGCTTTTTTTTAACTTGTAGCTCTTGACCTCTCCTTCAGTAATAAGATGCCCAGTCCTTTGAAACAGCTTTCTAAGTTCTGTTAAGACCACTCTATTCACTTTGGTTATTTTCAGAATGGTTGCTAAATTCTTACTGACCTTCAGAATTAAGATCAGCTTCTGAAGTAATTAGTAGTAGGTCTGATCTTCAATTCCTTAATACTGAACTTAGTTCTGTCGGTATTTTAAATGACCTCACAGTTAGCTATTGTGGGTAGTTTTTTGAAACTTCCCTTAATAGTGGTGAAATTAAGAGACACGGGTGACATTCTTGTTTTAGAACAGTGGTTGGTAATCTTGTTTTAGATAATTTGTTTTTAATGAAGGGCGATTGGGCAGTATCTGGAGACATTTTTGGTTGCCACAGCTGAATGAGTGCTACTGGCATAGTGGATAAAGACCAGGGATGCTGCTAAACATGCTGCAATAAACAGGACACCCCTGCACAAAGAATTAGTTGGTCCAAGATGTCAACGTGCCGAGGTTGAGAAACCCTGCTTTAGAACCATCTTAGAATTTCATCTCACTAAAACCCATTTAGTTTCTATCAAACAGTCGTAAGATTCAGTGGTGCCATCTGGTGGCCAGTATATGCTTCTAAAACGAGAGGCATTTTACTTTGATGGCTTTGACCCAGGTAGAAATTCACCTCTTTGTGAGGTACGCAGAGACCTTTGCAAGTGCACTGCTATGAATGACCATGTTTTGATTTTAATATGTTTCAGGTGATGACAACCTGTGCAACACTCCCCATTTACCACCCTGTTCTCCACCAAAGCAGAGCAAGAAAGAGAATGGTCCCCCTCGCTCACATATACCTAAGGGGCGCCGATTGGTATTTGACAATCAACTGACAGTTAAGTCTCCTAGCAAAAGAGAACAAACTAGAGTCCACCAAAACAAAATATGTTCCTCAGTTCAAAAAGGTCAAGAGGTCACAGCAAAGTCTAAGCAGAGATGTCCTCCGGAAAAAGAATCTGCACGTTTGAGACTGTTCAAGCAAGAAGGTTCGTTCTTACATGGCAGCCGTTAGTGCAGCCTCGTAAACAAGGCTGGTGAGTCCAGATGAAACCCATTGGGTCTTCTCAGTCACCTCTGTTGTGTCCAACTGTCCTTTCATGTTTGGCACAGGCACTTGCTACCAGCAAGCAAAACTGGCCCTGAATACCGCTGTCCCGGATCGGCTGCCTGCCAGGGAAAAGGAGATGGATGTCATCAGGAATTTCCTGAGGGAGCACATCTGTGGCAAAAAAGCTGGGAGTCTTTATCTTTCTGGTGCTCCAGGAACTGGAAAAACTGCCTGCCTAAGCCGAATTCTGCAAGACCTCAAGGTACATTGAAAGTTTGAATTATGATGCTCTTGCTAAAATGACACTTGGTTATTAAGGGTTAAGAAAAAGTAGAAGTCTTAGGGGATTGAAGTTTTCTCCAAAAATATAGTTTTAAAGCCTTTTAGTTTCTTCTAGAAAAAAAAAAAAAAATAACACTTTTTTCGTTTCATTGTCTAAATCTTTCCAAATGAAAGTAGAGCTCCTTCTCTTCTATGCTGTTATCTCCTTAAAGACACTTCAGGTTCCATCAAATCTTTATCCGAGGCCAAAGTAACTCCCATGTTTGTATTTTTCTAGAAGAAACTAAAAGGCTTTAAAACTATCATGCTGAATTGCATGTCACTGAGGAGTGCCCAGGCTGTATTCCCAGCTATTGCTCAGGAGATTTGTCAGGAAGGCGTATCCAGGCCAGCTGGGAAGGACATGATGAAGAAACTGGAAAACCATTTGACTGCAGAGAAGGGCCCCATGATGTAAGTATTGCTCTGCTGCATGTTGCTCTGTGAAAATCTGCAAGTTCTGCTGCCCACAAACTCAGATTCTAGTCTCTTGAATTTATTGGTTCATAAAAAGAACGTTTCCTGTATTTGCTTTGAGAAGTGTAGTTACATAAGCTTAAAGAGAAAGAAGAAAGGAAAAATACACCTTCTAATTTTAAATTGGGAAAATGTTTTTAAACTAATTGCTTGAAAAACCTATATGTTACTTTTTCATGATGGTGGGGATGGTTGAGTATCGTAACTGTGACTGGAAATAGGACAAATTATGATCTTCAAACTGGTCTCAAGTATAGGAATGTGACCTAGAGTCATCCCAGATCAAACAGATTGGAGAATTAAGAAGATGAACATAGGCATTGTTTCTCTTTATATGTAGTGTGTTGGTGTTGGACGAGATGGATCAGCTGGACAGCAAAGGGCAGGATGTATTGTACACGCTGTTTGAATGGCCATGGCTAAGCAAGTCTCGATTGGTGCTGATTGGTTAGTGCTCAGTTGTAAATATTGCATGGTGGTTCTAAAGAATTCTTTTTTAATCTCTTCAACTTATTTGTCACGTATTTTATTTTAAACCAGCTTTCTATTTTCTTATAAAAATAATTGTAATTTTAATCTAAGGCAAATCAATTTTGTTAAGTCTGAATAGAAATTACATAATACTGCATTTCAGAGATAGCTGATTTTAGAGTATCTGGTCCTGTTTATCAGTGAACAATTCTAAATCTAACTTGAAAAGAGCATTCCATGATTACTACGTACATCTTACCTAAAGAATGGGAGTGGTGGGGAGTAAGTGGGAAGCAACAATTAGAATGCTGGATTATAACTGGAAAGTTTATTTAGCTTTCCGAGGGTTTATTTTTCCTTTTAGGATGATTTGACCAGTTATGATTAGTGTTATTTATCTTCTCAGGTATTGCCAATACCTTGGATCTCACAGACAGAATTTTACCGAGGCTTCAGGCTAGAGAAAAATATAAGCCACAGCTGTTGAACTTCCCACCTTATACCAAAAATCAGATAGCCACTATCTTGCAGGATCGACTTAATCAGGTGAGTACCAACCATTGTACCAAATTGTGTGTTCTTTGGATCACCTGTTTTGGGGAAACCTAGCGGTAGTTCTAAAATATTTTGCTTTGATTGCATTACTAAACATAGAGTATGGGGCATAGTGAGGACATTTTTCTATGAATTTTCATCCATGGCTCCATTTATTGGATGCCTCAGTGCTAAAATAAAAATAAGAGGGGAATCACACAATTGCTTCTTCAATGGCCTTTAAAAATGGGGCCTATGAAAAAAATTTTCTCTTTTGAAAATGACCAAATAGGTTTTAGTTTAGTTTAGTTTTGCTAATTTAAGTTCTGATTGCTTTTTTTTTTTTCCATTCACGAATATCTGCCAAATTCTACAAAATGCCTAAATGTATGAAACCTCCATTGACTTATGAACAGAAAAGGTATCTCTTAGACCCTAAAGGGTGGCCAATCAAGTTTAGACTTCAGTGTGAAAATACTTATTTATATCTGGGACCTAAATTACAGAGAAGGGAGATCTTAAAGTTCAGACTGTCACCTTCATGTCTTGTCCAAAGGCATCTAGAGACCAGATTCTGGACAATGCTGCAATTCAGTTCTGTGCTCGAAAAGTCTCTGCTGTTTCTGGAGATGTTCGCAAAGCGCTAGATGTTTGCAGGTGAGTTATGGCACTGTTGGCTGTTTTTATTAAAAAAAGAAATGTTGTTAATTGTCTCATGTAACTCAAGTGAATGTGGCTTAAGAGGCTCCATTCTGCCACTTTTTATGCTCAGAAAAGAGGACTTGTTTCTCAGTGGGGAGCTCGGCATTTCCACCGTGTTAATGTCTGAAACATTATCAGTCCATTACCTACAGAGGGAGGAACAAATGAGATGTTGCTGGCACTCCCTGTGGTGATTATAGATTGGTTAATTACATTTGTATTAAAAAAGACTCCAGTTTACTTTTCCATTAGTTGGTCTCAAGCAGGTTTATTTATGGACCTGAACCATCTTTGCCTTTAGACATTTTTTCCTTCCTTTGCTTTTGTGAGCACCCCTTCCTCCAGTCGGTGGTCCCCACAGTTAGACTCCAGACCTCTCTCCCTTCCCACCCCCTTGTCCCTCCTGCTGGGGAAAGCCTCTACGCTGACTGATGAAATTTCTTCTTCCCAGTAGGGACACTGGGTCCATTAAAATGATACTTGCTGTGTTGGCCTGCTGGTCCAACCTCCCCCTGCTGCCATGCAGAAGATCTAGGTCTGGCTTATGGCTTCCTGTGGGCTAAGTAGTTTGGAGAGAGCAGTGGGAGAGTAAGCTCTTCCTATTGCTAGATGGCGTGATCCTGGATTTGAAAGTTTCCCCTAGCCAGCAAACTACTTGGGAAAGACCTGTAGCTATGAGCAATAGTCACGTAGGCAGGCTGGTGTGGTTTAGCCTACACATAGGCCATGAATATATAACAGGACTCCCCTTCCAGGTTCAGCATGGATGGGTGGTACTGCTTCTCTTTAGTCAGTCGCCCACACTACATGTTCTCTCCCTCATCCACGACATTTTCTCCTCATCCAAAATGTTATCATTGGCTCAATGTATGATGACCTACTTGGCATCTCTAAGAGGAAACCGTGTAGTGTTGAAGTTTCTCAGATTCCCTGGTCTATGAATTATTTGAAGGCAACTAAGTCTCTTTTAGCAGAGACATAACCCGGTTTTGTTTGGGGGCTTTAAAATGATAAAACATGTTTTTTGTTAATGCGTCTGTGAGCTTGGTGGTTTGTTGTAGTGTTTGGTTTGGCTCAGCCTAAATTAATTTTAGAAATATTTTTTTTATAGGAGAGCTATTGAAATTGTAGAGTCGGATGTCAAAAGCCAGACTATTCTCAAACCACTGTCTGAATGTAAGTAGTTTATCTCTTTCCTGGCTTCCTTTGTAATTGGAAGCTTAACTTTTCTGAGGAAAGAGCTAGAAAGATATAATGAACATGGTTAAATCCACACTCACCCATTTTTATGTCTGTATCTGTGTGTTTTTGGTCTATTTCATGTGCTTTATTTCAGTCTTGCCTGTCAGCACTATAGTCTGTGCATTAGTGCAAATGAGTTCCTCAGGATGTTACATAAATGATTGAGACAGAGTAAGTTTTCTTTCCAAGCTCTAGGAATGAAAACTGTAGACAGTAAAGTTGGATCTGCTTCTCTCTGGGTGCTTATGTGTTGTGCAGTTTAGGTCTCAATATAGGTGAAAGCAAAGCATGGTGAATAAGAGTCCGTGAAAGAATTGAGTTTAACTTGTGATATCTCAGGCCTTTAAACAGGTATAGGAGGGTGGAGGTATAAGATGATATTGCTACAGTAAGCTGCAGGCTATTACAAAAATGGCAAAATTAATTTCCTTTCCCTCAGCCATGTTCTCTTAGCTATAGCAGATATAAAATGGCCACGAACTACATATCTTGTCACTGTTTAATATCCAGTGTTAATCTTTAGAAACAAGACAGTCTGGTTTGATTATTGCTGCCTTCACTCCTGCAGTGGTTGAAAATTATTAAAATTCTTTCTAGCACTACGGTTCTACAGCTGTTGAAGGAAATTTTTTAAAAATATTTCAGAAGTAGCCAAACTTAGTGCTAGGGTGATGGTAGGTAATATATGCCAGTACATAGATTAAATTCTCGTTTCTGTTCAACTTTTCAGATTATTCCCTTTTTTTCCACCACAAATAATATTTAGGTATTATTGGTGGCTCCTGTGAGCACCACCAGCATGAACATAACTAGAAGAGGTTGTAAGTTCCTGGCATAAATTATTAGACTAATCTAGTTCTTGGCCTTTGACCTCTGGTATGTGTGATTAGCTTTTAATGGTTCTAGAAAACTATAGGGAGACTGAGTTCAACTAAATATGAGAAGACACTTTCTAATAAATAGCACTAACGGGGCTTCTTTGACACAGTGGGTTCCCCAGCATTGAAGACATTCAAACAAAAGCTGGATAGATGACCACTAGATGACCACTTGTTAGGATTGTTTTAGAGGGGGCTCAGCCATGGGGTAGGGAGCAAGAATAGACCTCTAACTTCCTTTCTACTTTAAGATTCTGCTACTTGATCAGAGATATCCAGTTTCTTCACTATTAGTCCCCGGCAACATCCTGTTTGTAACAATAAAATAGAAGCAAATTGTTGTAGGGCAACAGCACATGGTCTCAGGAAGTAACTTTCCTCAAAGGTTGTTACAGAGCAAATTCCTCCTCTCTCTTAAAATTCATGCGTCTCCAAACAATGAGGCCATAGTCCTATGCAGCTTGTTGGCAGTTTCCCAGCCTCCGGCTTCTGAGATGGTGCTATCTGCTAAGATATCCAATGACATTTTCTCAAGTGTTGCCCTACTGTAGATCAGCTTGGGCAAGTTAACCAAACCTCAAAGGTCATTTGCAGAGGCTATGTAGAGGACTTACATTGGATTGACTTTACTATCCACATTTAGCCACTCATTTGATTCAAAATATTAGGTAATTTTTCCAACGTTTTTCTTTCTTAATTACCAAGCATAGTCATCTTGGCTTCAAGGTTCTGTTCTTCTTATATTAGGAACTTTCAAGGTAGAATGCAGTAGTTCTCTGTCTGATCCTTATTTTTTCATGGGGTGGATTTTTGTCTCTCTGAGATTAAATTGTGTTCTACAGGGCAAAGTAGCTCACCATTCTACCCAGAAAAAGGATAACCCTACTTTCCAAGTCATCTCACATTGTTTCGGACTCTTTCTGAGGATAGCATTGTCTCTTCTTTAGCTTCTAGTTAGAACCTCTGCTTTGCCACTACATGATTGCACTTGAATTTTCAGCTAAAACTTAGTATCTGTCTTGATACACACAATTTTTAAAAACCCAATTAAACTTGATTTTTTTATTTTATAGGTAAATCACTCTCTGAATCACTGGTTCCAAAACAAGTTGGTCTTATTCACATATCCAAAGTCATTTCAGAAGTTGATGGTAACAGAATGACTTTGAGCCAAGAAGGAGCACAAGATTCCTTCCCTCTTCAGCAGAAGCTCTTGGTCTGCTCTTTACTGCTCTTAATCAGGCAGTTGAAAAGCAAAGAGGTCACTCTGGGGAAGGTTAGTTGGGAATCTCAGCAGATGGAGCTGGGGTGGAGATGAGAATCTGCTTCGCAGAGCAGATATTTTCCAAAAGGCCTATCATGCTCCAGCTGATACGAATTAAAAATGGATTTTAACGGTAAGAATAAATACTGGTACCATATAAAAAGCAGCTGACTTTATTTCCCTTGGGTTGTGGTTGAGAATTTGCCATTAATCTTCTCCCTTTCATTTTTGCCTCTCCCTATGAAATATATAAAGCCCCTTTCCTGAATTACAGTGTAGGTTTTTTGGTAGTATCTACAAAATGCCTATTCAAGGATTTTATTGAAAGAGAGAGAATTGGGGTATTGAGATAACTTATTAAAAACTCACATTTTTAAATAGATTATAAGGTTACAAGAGATATGACTTGTAAGCAACATTTGTTCTCCCTTGTTTCCTCCTAGTTATATGAAGCCTACAGTAACGTCTGTCGCAAACAGCAGGTGGCAGTTGTGGACCAGTCAGAGTGTTTGTCACTTTCAGGGCTCTTGGAGGCCAGGGGCATTTTAGAATTAAAGAAAAACAAGGAAACTCGCTTTACAAAGGTATAACCAACTACTTTGTTACGTTGCTTTTAATTTTCTTGTTTTAGAGAGTTTATCTTTTGCTAAAGTAAAGAATTTAAAATGACCAGAATTAGATAATTTGTGTTTTTTTGTTGTTGTTGTTGTTAGAGTTTAAGATCTGTGAAGATGGGACTGTGGTATGAGTAAAATTTTTTTGTAAACTGTTGAAAAAGCAACGTTTAACTTGCTTGCCTCTTGTGAGAAAAACATGGTAGACATTTATGTAATAAGAACTGCTTTTATGAGATCTCTACTGTGAAAAATATTTTTTTCTCTTCTTCCCAGGTGTCTTTGAAGATTGAAGAGAAGGAAATAGAGCATGCTCTGAAAGACAAAGCTTTAATTGGAAATATCTTAGCTACTGGATTGCCTTAAATTCTTTTATCTAATATCCCACCTGAAAGTATTCAGCTGTCATTTAGAGAGCTATAGTCTTCATTTTAGTACTTTATATATTCAGGTCTGAAAATATATATGACCTTTTTTACTTGAAAGTGATAAATTTTAATCTACAGAGTTAAGAATATTTGCACAGAATAATGTCTTTGGGTCTTATTTTTATGCATTAAAAATTAATTCCCAAGTAGACCCTTTTTAATTATATTTACTACCTTAATATGCTTGCAAGCATACAGATTTATTTTGTGGAATATGCATATATGTACCTCTTTGTTTCCTCAAATGTTGCTGTGTTTGAAAGAATTTTGGACTAGAACCAGAAGAATAGAAAAGGATGATCCAGGAAAAGAAGCAAGTCTTCATGGAGATTTGGAGGACACTTTGTGATCAAAGAATTTATTTCATTTTGGAGTATAGTGTGTTCACTTTGCAGATAGTTCCACTTTGTGACTTTTTAAAGACTCATTGTGTTTCTTAGGCACTTCCAAGGGTGTGGGGATGGTAAGGAGAATGTAACTTTTCAGATCGTGAATATATTTATTTTAAATTGCATTCTTTGTCTTTTTAAGCAATCACATTTCAAGAGCTCAAACTTTCAGAAGGTAATGTGAAAATTCCTCCCTAAACTGTCCCACAATCTTAGTTGCCCTCAGATGAAGCCACTTGTTTCAAGAAGCTTTAGGTGGGGTTAGATTTTCATTTAAATCTCATAGTTTTCTAGTCTTATTTGATCAATTCATCCATATGGTTATTCAGTCTCCCCTTTTCTGGGTTTGGTTTTCAGTGGCATTAAATGGCAATTTGTGATGGGGACGCCAGAGGGCACTGTTATAACACTGGCTGTCTTGAAAGTGCAGGCATGGGGCTGGGGGTAGTTTTGAGGGGGGGATGGGGTGACTTAAGTTTGATTCATTCGGGAGATTGCTATATACTTCTATAACTCAAGCAGATGCTTGGAATGTCAGTCATGTGTGATATGAATGGTCTGAGAGCCAGCGACCAAGTGTGTGCTCCCTGAGCTCTTTTGCTTCCTCCTACCTTTCTGACATACACTTGAGTTTAGGAACTTGATATGTGTACAAATGATCTGTTGGCCACTGTTTCATTCATGCTGCCCACTGTATCCCTTGCAATGTGATCTGGCCTACAGCAGGTGGTATGAGGTAGAAGGGCACCCTGAGAGAGCCCTCTGAAATGAATACTACCCACTGGTATGTGTAGCCGAGCGCAGTTTATAGACAGGAGTCTGAATGTTCTCACACTCCTTTATCAGAGCATTCATTCCCTTCAAGGGTAATTTGTGAGTGGAGAACATAGTTGCATACCTACAAGCTTGGGAAGTGTCTGGGGCTATAAGGGTTAATAAGCATAATTACAAAGATTGTCCAAAGGCTGATGGGAAGCAGAGACTGAATGGGATTGAGAACAGATGCGAGGCTTGATTTAAATTACATTTTATTGGATACTGCAGCCTTAAGAGACGTGACTGCTTTACAGTTTGTTTCCATACTGTGGGCAGCTGCTGTCTGTTCTGTGTCCACAGTAGGATCCTGCCCAAAAAGGAGCGGCCTCCCCACCTCATTGTGTTTGAGGCTTGGCGCCATAACTATAAGACTTGAGTCAGGAACATGGCTTGACTCGCAGTAGGGCTGCTATGCATCCTCCGTGGCTCTGAGCCAAGATTGCATTTGCAGATTCAAAGGGGCCAAATTTCTTTCCCCTCTATCTCCTTTCTCTCCCTTTCCCCTGGTATTTAGAAATAGGGTTTTCTGTGCACTGGTTTGTTCGTTTCTTTTCCTTCAGTTCTCCCCCCACTGTCAATTTCTAGGTCATTGCTGCTCTTAAGACTTCAGCAGTTGGAACAGGGTTGGTTCTGTCAATGATGCGTGAAGCAGACTTAGAGTCCCTGCTTGGCTTCCGCTGCCCTTGTGGGAGCAAAAGCTGATGTATGTTTGTCAGTGAAGTCTTAAGTGTAATTCAGACAGCCGGGGAGCAGATTGAGAGGAGGAAGAAAGTCCTTTTCTTGCTGGTTTTTCTCACTAAGGCTGAGAGCTATGGGAAGGTAATGGGATGGGATGGGCTTGTGGTTATAGTTTTTGCCAGGATCATGGGCTGTTTCACATAGAGTAGTGGCAAAGATGCTGACCTACATTCTTCCTCTTGAAGGTAGTGGGGTATGTGTCGATATCCTGGTTTACTTATGTATTTTTCTTCAAAGAAACAGAGTGAGCTTCCACAGAGTGTTGGTGGGTATTACCATGGAAAGAACATAGACACAATAAAATCGGTGTGAGTTTCAGCCCCAGAGCTGCCACTGATATTTCTGGCTCAATGAAGACTTGCCTGTGGCTAGATAACTGGCAAGAATGTGTGAGGTCCGTGCTACTCAGAGATCAAAAAAGTTGGCAGAGCTCTGTTCTTTCCCCCACCCCAACCCCCTTTGCTCCCTGCCTTTATTAAATGCCCTTTTAAGATACACCAATGAGAAATGGGAAGTACGTATGAGATAGACTTAGCGATTTTAAGAACTATAGAAAGGTATCACTTGACTACTGAGGGAGACTAAAAGTGCCAAGCTTGAGATTTCATTTACATTTGTATCTGTCCCCAGCACTTAGTACAGTGGCTGGTACCTGATAGGTATTCAATAAACAATTGCTGAATGGACAGATAAATGAACCAAGTAAGACACTGCTTTTCCCTCATCTTGAGGACAGTTCTAACATGCAGGTAAGCATTGCTGGCGCTATTGCACTGAGGAGAAGCAAGCCCCTGTGAAAGCAGAGTGCTTCATCTTACAAAATATGCCTTGGCACAGTTGTGAAAGTTTATTGGCCTCACAGATGCGTTCCAATCGCTTCCTCTGAAGTAGTGGTATTTTGCTTGAGGCAACTTCCATGTTGCTCCCAGGAAGCCTTGGCTATGGAGAAAGCCCTCCCTATAGGCTGGGAAGAGGGATGCCTGTCTGATTGTTGCCTAGTGTCCCTAGAGATTGGCCAGAAACGTTGCCTTTAGCTGGCAAGGGATTAAGGATGTCCCACTTTTTAACTTTTGGGGAAAGTTGTAACCTCAGGTTACTCCTGAAAAGATAAGGTGTCCTCTAAGACATTCTCTTTTAAGCTACAAATAGTGGCAGGTCTCAGAAGTGCGTTCTGTAGGGGGAGAAGGCTGCCCTCTGGCCTCCCCTTGATTTTCAACCCCAGTCCCGAGGTGCTGGCAGTAGAAGCTAATTGGGTGCAAGGGGCCTGGGTAAAGGCTGTCTAAAGACTGCTGAAAGGAGAGCAGTACCTCCTTTTTAAAGAAGCTCTAATTGAGTTCTGAATCAGCCTCGCTCCCTTTGATCCCACCTCTTTTTCCCACACTGCCTGAAAGAGCTAGATCAGCACTTTATA